GATTGGGTTTTACTATTCTCCAAAATACTGAAGGCTCTGGGAGAAGGATCTGACATCACTCTTTTCACTTAGACCAGGAAGGGCACATAATTTGTTATCCAAAGTGGGATAGTTTTGAGAGCAGAGGGGGTAGTGCTTGCTAATGGATATGCTGGAACCACTGGTTAAGGACTAAGCTGTCATGAGCACATGTGAGAGGATGAGGGTCGCCCTAGACCTGGGGTCATTTGCGTGAGGATGGGGGAGCTGAAGGGAGTGGGGAATGGTGGGGAGACCACTGTGGGCCTCCACAGGGCCACCCAGAGGCTGGGAACAGCTGTCAGACCTGAGCAGGCCTCTATGGGCCTCAGCTTCCTCCTCTGTAAATATATTCACCTCCCTTCCAAAATTGTAGCAAGGATTCCTTAGGGACTTTATGAAGAGAAGAGAAGAATCGACCTCAGTCATCCCCCAAAGCAGAGTCAGATTCCTGGGAAAGCCCTCAACATCTTCCTCCAGCCCTCCACCCTGCCTAAGCAGCCCCCTCAACCAGGAAGCCTCTGGAATCCCCTGGACAGCCAATGAATCTTCAACCCAATTTCCCAATTTAGTAGATTCAGGGCTAACGGCAAAATGCTTGCTCAATGCGAAAAGCAGAAAATGTTCAGATTTATTGCTTTGAGAGTTTGCTCTGTCTCCTGGGCCTGGTTGATGTAGTTTCCTCCAAGTTTCAGAGCATTTTGTTTAAAAAAAAAATTCAGGGCTAACGGCAAAATGCTTGCTCAATGCGAAAAGCAGAAAATGTTCAGATTTATTGCTTTGAGAGTTTGCTCTGTCTCCTGGGCCTGGTTGATGTAGTTTCCTCCAAGTTTCAGAGCATTTTGTTTAAAAAAAAAAAGAATTTTTGACAGCAGTGTTTTGCCTCACGTTTATGCAAGTTTTTATAGTTTACAAAGGGCTTCACATGATAACGATAACAATCATCACTGTATGTATTGTATTCCTACACTGGGGAGCTCGATTAACTCTTGAAATCACCCTCCCTTTCCATAGATGGAAACGCAGGCAGGCAATGTTCAGAGAGGTTAGGGTGCTTGTCCAAGGTCGCACAGCTCAGGGAAAAGGGCAGAGCATAGTGGAACCCAGGTCCATGGGTTTCAGTCTGTGCTTATCATCTCCTGTCCTGTCACTCTGCCTTTCTTATCTTCTGCAGATAACAGAACAAAACAAAACAAAATAAAAAACACAGGATTTCACAGAAAACAGAGGCTGGAATGAGTATAAAAATAACCAGGTATGTTCAAGGGACTCCTCAAGTCCCCAAACAATATGTTTTGTGCTAAGATTACTTTTGTAATAATGCAGGTGGTAGAGGGTCCAGGTGGCAGGGAGTCAGTGAGCAGAGGACTGGCTTTCTAAATTCTAAGACTACACTGTTCAAAATGGCAGCCAGTAACCACATAGGGCTATTCACATTTAATTACAATGAAAAAAATTACAAACTTAGTTCCTCAGCTGCACTTGCTGCATTTTAAGTGCTCAAGCATCCACATGTGGCTACTCAACTGGAGAGAGAGCACAGAGTGGAACACTTCCATCATTGCACAAAGTTCTACTGGACAGCATTGTTCTAAGCCCTCTGAGAGCTGCTCCTGTCTTATCCTGACTGCCCTGGAAGGGGGGCGAGCTGCTGATGCAGGTGATAGACACACCTGTTCTGAGGTAGCTTTGTCTGCAGCCAAGGTATCTATAGATGCCATCCCAACACCTGAGCCCCTTTGCTGTACGCTGGAGAGGTTACAACTCCAGGGAAGCAAATAAAGGGTAGAACCCAAGGGAGTGGCCATTAACTGAGGCCTTGCTACTCAAAGTGAGGTCTGAGGACCGGCAGCATCAGCGTCTCCTGGGAGCTTGTTAGAAACACCAGGCTTACTGAATACGACCCTGTGCTTCAACAAGATCTCCAGGTGATTCAGGTGCACGTTTGAGAAGCTCTGACTAAGAGACAGACTGAGCAGGATCAAAATATTGTTCTAAATATAGGGAACCAAACAAATATTTTTAGATACAAAAAAATAGCATCAGCATCCCGTCCCCCCAGTAGTGTGTGATTAAGCGTTAGTCACAGAGGGCTGTGTCTCTGTGCCACATGATCAATGAGCATGTTTCCAAGGGCAGACCCCCTGTGGGTAGCTGGGAGCAGCTGGCCTGTGCCCAGCACCAGCACCTCAAAGCATGATGAGGTCGCCTCCCCAAAGCAAAGGGAACAGAACTGAGAGTCATCTTGGATTTCACAGATGCTGCCTTTAAATCAGATTTTCTGTTTCTGTTTTTTTCTCTCCAGTGTATTTGGTTTTTGAACTTTACAAATTGCTAAAGACACATTGTGATGCAGAAAGTCAGCCTGAACAAGCATACGGTGGTTTAAAGTAGACATCCTGGAAAGGACTATGTCCCCCTTCCACAGGGTGGGCTGCTTCGCAGGCCTCGGTGCCTGGAGTCAGGTGCTGATGAAGCGCTCTGGGAAGGAACCAGCATCAAGCGCATCTGTGAAGAAAACGGGTGTAAAGGGTGGTTCCGTCCGCAGCCAGGAAAAGCGCGAGGTTAACGGTGATACTGGCAGCATGTGGGACCCCTGGCTGGGGAGTGAGGGGTTTGTTTGCTTCAGGGAATGGGTGGGAGCTTAGATGCTGTGGCTCCTCCTTCAGGGAGGATGACTCGTCTCTTAATTTCTTCTACTCTCAGCCCCTCTTGGGGCTTATTTTTATCCCTGGAATGGAGTTAAGTTGCCAAAAGGATGATATTCTTCACTTGCAAGGACCCTCCTGGAGGACGAATTTTAAAATACTTTACAACTTGCTCCCAGTGATAATGCAGAAGACAAGAATGCCAGGGGGAGAGGAGGGGACAGTGACACGGGCCCAGCAGGGAGCCCAGGGCCTTGGGGAACTGCCAGGTGGCTCTGCGGTGGGGAGACTTTCCAAGAGTTGACTCGAAGGACTTGGACAAGAGGGAAAGGAGGGGCCGTCAAGTACGCGTCCGTGTCCCTCCTTATAATAGCAGAGAAAGTCAAAGCAAAACCTGCAAACAGTCCCGCTGCCTTTGGCTAGCCAGCACACAGTTCCATTATTTTGGGAGCAAACCTCATCTTTTCTCCAGGGAACAGCCTGTCATTGCCCTTAGTATAGTCTTGGTGGCTCTGTCAGTCAAGATGTCCCGCCCCCACTTGGCAGCACGTGACCCAGGCAAGCCCAATTAGCTCCTCACTTCCTTGACGGGAGACAAAGTAGGATCTGGAAAACTTGTATTCATTCACCCGTCCTGTTGGTGGTCCCTGGGAGGCTGCTCCCTGGGTCTTGTAGCCTGGATCCCTGGCCAAATCCTCTTCCTAATCCTTCATGACGTCCGGCTGTTCACTCTCCTGAGATTCCATGTCCCCTCCCAGGTATTTCAATACATTTTTTAATGCATGTGTGTGTGTTAAGCAGTTTCTATTACTTGTAAGTAAGACCTCAAACTGACACAAACCCAGGTGCCCAGCAAGAAGGCTTAGATCCAGAAAGCATGAATAGCATACACAACCAGGCACAGCGATGAGGTCGACGTGCATTTGTTGAAAGATGTTCTGTGTAGAGCTAAGTGCAAAAGCAGATTATAACAAAACAATGCAGAGCATGATACCATGTTTGCAAAATAAATTTATTCAGTACATTGATAGAAAAAGAGCTAGGAGAAAATATAACAGTATCCTTTCTGGAGGGTAGCATGGTGAATGATTTTTTTCTGCTTAGCATAAAGATTGTACCTAACCTTTTATAATGTTGGTGTACTGGGTTCTTCTTCTCTTTAAATGAATTGGCACAGGCAGGTGGCTGAAGCTGCACTTTCCTGGTGCTTGTCAAGAGTGAAGTGATGTGCTGGGTTCAGGTAATGACTTTTTCACCAAACACCAGGGCCCCTGCTACATGGACAGCTCACCTATAGTTCTGCTTAAGAAGATGCTGGAAGCATCTGAATTTCCAGAACACTTCCCACACCACTAGAGCATGAGCAGCATCTCATTTATTCTCACAGCAACCTTGTTAGGTGGGGGTTCCACCCTCTGCCTGATGGAAAAGAGTGACCCTGAGAGGTGAGGTGACCTGTCCAGGTTGACACGGTGGGGACTGAAAGCCAGGACACTTGCCTAGGGCCTCAACACCCCAGGAGCTATTTAAGTTTATGACAGAGTCAAAGTGAAGCTGTGGAGCCTGGGGAAGGCCTCAAAATTGTCCTGTGAAGCCAGCTGTGTGGACAAGCTGCAGAGGGCTGAGGTGGGAGGGGAGGAAAGCTCTCACTTCACTGCTAGGACCTGAACTTGCTCTGCAGAATGGCCTCCTCCCTGGGAAGCAGGTGACGGTCACCTTAGAGAGTGGATCTGTGGGATATTCTTCCTACTTTTCTTTCTTATCTTCTAGGTCCCAGTTTGAAAATCATCTGTTGGAGAGGCTCTCCTTGGTCCCCTAAGATAGGTCCCAGCCATGAGCACCCTGGCCCTGCTTGTCTCCTTCGTAGCCTCTCACATAACTTGTGGCCACGGTACTGAGCTGTCGGTTTACTTTAGGGTCTGTCTCTCCCCTTGACTGTATGCTCCCCGAGGGCCTGCCTCATGACTGTCGCACTCACAGCTGGGTCCCAGCATCTAGCTCTGGTCTGCTCCCTGGCAGGCACTCACCCAGTACGTGCAGCGCAAACACAGGATGGGGGCGGGCTGGGCTCACCTCTGCTTTACTGGCTGTGACTTCAGGCAAGTTGCTGCCCCTCTCTGGGTCTCTTCCAAACCTCTGCCTAAGTATAAATATCCAATTTCAAGGATTGGCCTCACCCTTCCTGAATATATTAGGACCAATTTAAAGGAAGGTAATAGAAGTTCCTGGAGCCTTTACTGAATTATATCTGAAATCAACTACTGTTTGAATCTTCTTTCTGACGATGGCAATGATTTTTCCAGGAGTCACTGATGTGTAATGAACCCCATTGTATTTCTTATTCAATAACTCTTTTATTTGTAAGTTTACATATTTTTCCATTACAATAATGAAAACAACACCAGTGATTCATAACACTTAGGCCCAAATCAAAGGGAACCCCTCCGCAAATTATAAGGTAAATGACGGAGTTGAACATATAGTAAATGTTGGGTAAAAGGCATTTGAAATATGGAAAACGGGGTCCAGGTTTGTGGGTGTGTGCACATACTTCAGGGTTTAGTTTATCAGGATGACATAGTTTTTCAAACCACATGATTTGGAAATTGTATTTCTAATTTGTGATAAAACACAAATGTAGAAAAAAGCAAAATCAAGCAAAAACAAAAACAATAAACAATGAAAAGAAGTGAATCAAATACCTGGGGTCAATATGCAAATCTCCAGTCATTTGGCCCTGGAATGGCAAGTGAGTGGGTTTCATAGAAATTCTCCATAGAAAGGAATGTGTGGGCCTGGTGTGACAGCGCTACGTCTCCATGTCCTGTCTCCTCACAGAGGAAAAGAAGTGGCTTGTCTGACACATCTGCCCTGGTTCTGCCTGGAATGGGGCCTACATTCCCAATCCCTTTGAGAACAGCCCCAAATCCTGAAAAGGCAAGGCAACGCTGCAGGGGCCCTGGACGCAGCAGGGAGACGGGTCAGAGCTGGCCCCCGGCCCTGCTGGAGCTGTCCGAGTGGTTCACGGGGAGCGGGTGGGCCTCTGTGTTGAACACCCAGTCTTCTAGGGAGAGCGTGTCATCTTCAGAGAACAGAAGATAGAGATACCTGTGCCCCAGGCAGGGGAGAAGCAAGACACAGCCTATCAGTGCTCTGGGGACCAGGGGTGCCTGGGAATGAGTCTGAGACCTCTGTGATGGGCTTGTGGCCAAGGATGCAGGGGGTCTGAGATCCCAGATCTCTTAGAGGGCTGGTCCTGGGGAGGAGCTGTGGGCTCCAAGAGCAGTGAGCTTTGGGGCAGACAGAACTAGTTCAGTCCTGGCTCTGCCCTCAGCCCTCACTCTGTTACCTCATCCCCCACCGGCCTCCCTCAGGTACTTGCCCCACCTGGCCTTGCATGTGAGCCCTGCTAAGACCGCTATGGCCTAGGTTCTCCATTCTTTGCAGGCTAGCCTGAGTACTGCACCAGCCCAAACTTTTGGGCTGCTCCCTTAAGTGCCCCCAGGAGACACGGTACTCAAGCAGATGTTAGAGCACTGAAGTGAACAGGGAGCTGTGTCTCCACAACTCCAGCTTCCCAAGCCATGGGTTGTTTTTTTACTGGAAGGAGCAGAGCATTCTAATCCATCCTAAAGGGTTAAAGCATGCAGGGATTGCTTTGAGAAAGAGCAAGGAAATGGGGTGGCCAACCCCCACCCCAAGGAAGCGAGGGAGTGGTGCAGCCGCAAAACTGCAGAGGGAGAGTTGGCAGCAGTGTCCAGCATGACATCATCGCCGCTATTCCTGCTTCACACAAGAGGACACGGTTTCAGAGAACTAAGTAACCTGAGGGGGCAGCTTAAAGACGAGAACTGATCACCAGCTAACACTCAGGTGGGCTCCAACCCAGCCTCGCCCTCTGAGGGCACACGCCCCAGACCCCAAGCCCCTCCCCACGCAGGGCCGCCTGTGAAGGCAGAAGCTGGGCACTGGTGAAGGGCAGGGCTGCTGGCACCCCCTGCCCACTTCCCCATCTGAAGGAAGAGCCTGAGTTGCCTCCGCAAAGAACACTGGACAGGCCCGACTCACTTTAGTGTCTCCGCCAGAAAGAACGTCTGCTGCTTGTTGTCGTGGTTGGGAATGCTGTTGTACACGTCCTGGATCCCGGAGAACCCGGCTTCCGTTCGGCAGTATTTCTCCAAGGCCTGAAGAAAAGGAAGGCAACCGTGGTGTGGGGAGAAGGGAGGCCCTGCAAGACTGCCAGCTCGCCAACAGGCAGGCCCTGGAGCCCTCGGCTGGGGATCCCTGGCGTTTGTGGAAGCATGAGGCCAAATTATTATTTCAGGGGTCAGCTGCCCTCCCACCAGGCTGGAGGGGCCGCACTCCCTGGGCCCTCCTCTGGGTACTTAGTCCCCTTGGGCTGCCTGCCCTGAGCTCTTTTCCTGGGTTGAACTCAGAGGACCCTTCTTTTTGCCTTTCAGGGAACTAGACTGATCTGACAGACTTGCCACAGTGGTGGGCAGGCGGACGTGCTGCTGGACTGGGATTTGGAGACTAGGCTTGGCCTATGCAAGGGATTCCCTGTGGAGATGTGCTCCCTGGGCCAGAGAAGGGTGGGCCATGGGCTATCTGCCTTTGAATACAAATGCAATTTTTACCCACTGAGAAATCTGTGGGCTGGACCTGAGAGCACAGACCACTTGGCTTCACTGGTCAAGAACCAGAGCCTTCTGGGATGTGCGGGGACTCTGACCACAGAACCACGTGCTCTGGGTGTGGCTCGCACCGAGGCAGTCTGTGCCTCCGGAAGCAGTGGGTCCTCCGGAGAGTAATGGGGAAGAGGGAAGGAACAGAGAATGCTCAGCATCCATCAAAGAACCTTCTAGAGTCTCCATACCTGCTTTTGACACCACCCCAAAGAGGGCCATGTGATTTCCCACTAGGAGGTTGGGGACAAAGGACTAGTAGAGAGGATGGGGCTGCCCAGGGCTGGGCTGGCTTTGGTGAGAGGAGGGAGGTGAGTTGCTGGCCTGGCAGCCAGTTCCTGTCTGAGAAATCTAAAGCCATCTGTCTAGGCCTCAGGGTCAGGTAGTGACCCATGTGCTCTGGGCCTCCTCTGGCTGCTGCTCTGCCCTTGGCCCTGTAAGCTGGCTGGCACTGGGCCCAGGCCCCAAAGGCTAGGTGTTCTCAGAACCCTCTTTCCTGGCCTGCTTTTGCCCAGCTGGGGATCGGGGCTCTGCAACCACACCTCGACCCTTTGTATTCTGAACCTCAGTCAGACAACAGCCTGGCTTGACTGCCCTCTTAGTGTGTGAGCTGGGGGGTGGGAGGGGGTGTTGGATCCTGACTGAATTCTCAGGGGCACCTGCCATCCAGCTGATCCCCCACCTCCCCCCGGCCCACTCACCATCACCACTTCCCAGCCCCACTCCCTGTAGATGGGGTCGCGGGTCTGTCGCCACAAGTACATGTAGCTCTCCACCACCTCAGGCCGGAGGATATAGTAGCTCTCGCTCAGCTGCGTGGCCACTGCCTCTCTGCCAGAGTTAAACCAGAAGGCCTCAGGCCCCAGTTTGGTATCTGTGGGAATGACCAACCAGAGGGCCTGGGTCAGACCTCCTACCTCCTGCTTGTTAGGATCCACTTGCCTCAGGGGAGATCTTAGTTGCCTGGACACCCTGGCAGGATGGTGGCTGGTGATAAGACTGGTGTGGGGTAGGCCCTGTCTAGATTTCCCAATGAGGCTGAGCCTGGCAGATGCACAGCTCTCGTCTTGGCCTAGGTTGGCCAAAGCAAGACCTTGAGGCCTCAAAAATTTTGCAGTTTTAGATTCTGAAATTGAAATAAACTACCTGGGGTGACAATGATTTGGGTGTTGTTCCCCAACTGTGTATTTTGAGACATTAGCTCTAAGATGTTAACCAAAGCTCACCCAAGAAAGGGTTTCAGGTTTAAATACATTTGGGGAACAGTGGGCTAAACAAAGGAAATAGTCTCCTGTCTGCAGGATTTATCAGATCCTTTAAATGCCAATATGCAATAATGCTTCTCCACAGACCCCCTTTCTTAGAGAACTGCTTGTACTGAAAGCAGGCTGGCTCTCAGAACCAGCCGTCCAGTGCTGCCAGTTTGGGAGACAGCTGAGGGGGGGATGAGGGGCACATACTTGGCGGGAGGCAGCTGACTAAAGGAAGCCTGAGGAGGTCTGGATTTTGTGGTTGTCATTGGTTTGTTTTTCTGGTTTTGGATAATTTGTTGCCTCCTATTTTCTATGTGAACACAATTTTAACCACCACTGCAGCCACCATTTATGATTTCAAGGCTGTGCTGGGTGCTTTATATACGTTGTTTCAATCGTTAGAAAAAAATTTTTTTTCTTGGATAGATAGTATCCCTCTCTCATGCATCGGAAACTGAGGATCAGAGAGGCTAAGTAATGTGTCCAAGGTAACACAGTGAGCTGTGACTGAGCTGGGATGTGACCCTGGATCTGTCTGACGTCCTTTGTCTGGGCTGTGTGCTCTCTCCTTCCTGGATTTGACTCTCTGGGTCCAAAATATAGAGTGTAGGGGTCAGATCTTCCCCCTCTGATGCCTGAACATCCTGTCAAGGTCAGCTGCATGCCCAGTTCAGGTCCTAATGTGTCCCCTCCCTCCTCTCATTAGGGTTCAGGACCCTGAGAGGCCCTGGGTTGCTTTTCCTCGAGCAAGGAGATTTTCAGGACATCCTACTGTTCCACGGAGGGCTTCATGGAAGAGGAATCAGCTAGACTCCAGCCCCTCTGGTCTCCTCAAACGGTAAAGCTGCCCCTGGCCACCAGAAGCCCATGTTTTGCCAAGCTGCTAATGGGGCGAGGGCAAGAGCGACTGCTGCAGCCGTCCGCAGGCGAGCTGAGCTGGCTGGAACAATACGCTCTATTAAGCGGACTGTCTTTTATGGTCTGGGCTGATTGTCCCAGACAAATAGTAAGCTTTTGATTATTCCTGAGATTTCCTGTTTGTTTATAGCACTGGCAGAGAGAGCTCTCTGAAGGGAATTGAGGATCAGTTTTGAGGACCCATTGTGAATCACTGGCTTCCCGAGAACAGCTCCAGAAGATTCGACTGGGGTGGTCACAGACACGTTTTTGGTGGACTGCTAGCAAACGCCTCCCGTGCTGCTGGCTGAAGGCAGCTGGCATCACTCTGGGAGACCAGTGCTGTTCCCATTGAACAGATGACAAAACGGAGACCACCCAGCTGGTAAGTGGCAGAGTGGCACTTGAGCCAGGAATTTTTATTGCCAATCTTAGGTTCTCTCCTCCACCAAGACTGGGATTGGACCCTGAGCAGTGGGCACCGCCTGGGGCCTTGGGGGTTTTTCTGAGGGGCACTTTTAGAAAGGCAGCATGCGGGTGGAGCTAGGCGCCAGAGACCGAGGTCTGCCCTGGCTTAGCTCCTCACATGTCGTGTGACTTTGGCTGGGTCACTTCCCAGCTCTGGGCTTAGTTCCCTGTGTTTACCATGAGGAGTCGGGCTCATGTTCTCTCAGGCAACTTCTGACTCTAGCATCGGATGACTCTGCAGTGAGGTGGGGATGGTCCAGGAGCTCTCGAGCTTTCTGGTGGTCTTGGATCAAAGAGTGTGTAAATAGGGTGGTGCCAGGAGGTGGTGAGACCCCCTAAATAGTGGGTGCCAGGGAGGAAAGGCAGAGGCCTGTCTGGGGGCAGAGGCTCAGGGAGAAGGAATATGCCAGGCTTGGGAAGCCAAGTGCCTGCCTCGGGGGCTGGAGGAGCCTCCGCTCTGGGCTCCTCACCTGGGCCCTTGACCACGTCATCTCTGAACCTCAGTTTCCTCATCTGTGTTGTGCGGTTCGGCGCTGATGTGTCAGGTGCTGGCCAACGCCTGGTACACACACAGTGCTCACTGCATCTTCACTCTTCCCTTTCCTCTAGGGCACCATTTCACGATGCAGACAGTACAGTCTCTGTTCAAATTCTACCTAACTTCCACTTTGAGAAGGCCCTAAAAAAATGTGTTCCTTTCACTCACTGCCATCTGTTGGGCTTTCCAGGTCTTCCTGGTGTCTAGCCTCAATCTCTCCTGCTTTCCCTTCCCCTTGCAGGGTTACCTGAGCGGGCGTACGATTCGTGGCATGTCTTGGTGATCTGGGCTGCGAGCTCTCTGTAGTGGGCCTTCTTTTCTTCCTTGGCATCCGCAGCGCCGAGGGCAATCATGCCCCCGGCGAAACAGGCCAGATGCCCCATCTTGTGGTCCAGAATCCCCCCTCGCCACTCAGCAATGTAGGTCAGCCCCCCAGGAGAGACATTCAGCAAGTGGGTCTCTATTGCCTGGGAGCAAAGTGGGAATTGGACAGGGAAAGGGGCGTGGGGGAGTACAGAGAAGGGAGGGGAAGAGGACAGACGACGAATATTTTGGAGATGGCAGCAAACGCAGCTCTGCTGCTCCTGCCGTCCAAAGGGAAAGGAGGCCCTTGACCTCAGCTGGCAGCTTTCCCTGATGGGGCCACTGGGAGGTTCTGCCTCTTGCCCAGCCCAGCTGAGGCTTGCTGCCTGCTGGGGGCTTGGACACAAGGCAACTCCCCAGGCTGAGTCCCTTATACAGACTTTTAAATCTCCTATATACAAAACTTAAAAATATATATATTAAAAAAAATTTCATCTTCCATTATATCCTCTGTCAGGGAATCTTAACCTGAAGCCAGTTGCCTGTGGATGGACCTCAGGCAGTCCAGAATACCCCTGAAATTGTATGTGATACCTTTGTGTATATGCATTTTCATGGGAAGAGGGTCCATATATTTGATCAGATTCTCAAAAAGGACCTGCAGAGAATGGAGTTGCTCTGTAAAGACCCTTATCACACACCTTCTCATTTAATGCTCACAACTAGCCAGGCCATCTACAGAAAGAGGGGTCGAAGGCTTGTCCCAGGCCACCCAGCCAACCAGGATTGGGACAAGGACTCCCGATGCCCAAGCACTGCTCTGACAGCTGCCCTTTGGTGGCAAGGGGCTTTGTGAGCTCTCCCCTGCTCCCTTGGGAGGTGATGCTGCTGGTAAAGACTCCCAGGATATTGGGCGTTGTAGATTTCAGGCCATCACACCACCAACTTCCTCTCAGTCCCTGGGAGCCCTGGAGACCAGGGAGATGGCAGCAGCCACCCACAGAGCTTGCAAGGCTGGATGGACTTGATGGTCCCATGGGTCCTGGTTTAGCTCTACCCATCTGTTCTCCAGGGGTCTCTGTGCTCTGGACTATGAGCTGGACTGCGTCTCGTGCCTGCTCAACACCCTTCCAGGGGTTCCAAGTGCTCAGAGGCAAGTCCAGCAGGCCCTCTGAGACTCCCTGATCTGGACCTTGAGATGTAACCTGACACCACAGACAGGGCTCCCGGGTGCAGACTCCTTGGCTTCAAACCCCATCTCCACCAGTCCCAAGCTGTGTAACACTGGGCAGGTTCTATGTTCTATCCGGGCCTCAACTGCCTCATGTACAAAATAGGGATAAGAGCATGAACCACTTCATAGGGTTGTGAGGATTAAAAGAGATGTCTCTGCAGAGTTTAGCATTTTTCCCAGCCCAGACAGGGTCCTTGGTAGCTGCTGGCTTACAGCTCCTCTCCAGTCTGTCCCCTGCCCTCCCTCCTCACGCCCCTGCTGCAGCCACACCGGCCTCTTTTCATTCATGCACCCCTCCCCGCATCGCACATTTTGTGAGCCCCTCCTTGGTGCCAGCGCCACGCTTGGTGCAGGGAACACAGCCCCTGAAGATGTGCCAGGACCCTGCCTCGGGGAGCTCCCCCATTAGGGCAGACTTTCCAGCAAAATCAAAACATGCAAGAGCTATGATTTGTGATCAGCATTTCAAATGAAACAAATCGAGGGGATGAGACAGGAAAAAGCTTGGGGAGGGGAGTCCTACTTAGCACAGTAAGGTCAGAGCGGGTCTGCCCCCGTAACGTTCAGGAAGGCTGCGTTTCTCCCCTCCTGCACTGACTGCCGCTTCTCCCTGCATGCTCCGGCCCCAGCTCTGCTCCTCCAGCTCGGCCTCTGGGCCTCCTCCAGGGTGCACTCCCTTGGAGAGGACACCCTAATAGCCACTGCCACCCCGTTACTCTACTACTGTTATCATGCTATGTGGTGCTATTCCCACTTTGTGTATATGGATTGGTGTATTTTCTGTGGAGTGTCTGCTTCTCTCCCAGGACTGAGTGCTGTGTGGCGGCAGAAGCCACCACCACTAATCTCCAGCCAGGGCCTGGCACACAGAAGGTGCCCAAACAACATCCACTCTTTAATCTGTTCTTTCCTTTCCTTCTCCTGTGTGGCCTGGGCTGGTGGGCTGTCTGCAGGAGCCTCGCAGAGCAGCAGGTGGGCAGCAGAGGCTGTGATGAGCCCCAGGCATCTGTTCCCTGTGGGCAGGAGCACTGAGGAGGCCTGGAGAGCTGCCCCCTGCTGGGCTGGGTCTGCTCTGGGCTGGGCCCTGGCCCTGGGTGGAGAGCAGGGTCTGTGGCAGCTGTTCGGTATCACTAGGCTGCAGGTGGGGGGCCAGGTGGCAGGGTTAGTCCAGTCGCAGAAATCTGGTTCGGTGACCTGTTGCCAACTCTTGGGAGGGAGCACAGGCCTCTGGGGCGGATCCCAGGGAGCCTTGTGCATAGCTGGAAATCTGCACCTTCAAGACTGCCTCTTATATTTCCCTCAGCGTTAACCCTAAGCTGAGTAATTGTGCTAAAGAGGAGATGATAGAGTATCTCTCTTTGAGGAAACAATTGACATAAGCAGATGCAAAGATAAAAAGGCAAGTTTTTCTAAAATCCTAAGCAAAATTCAAGACAGCATAGGCTGACAACCAACTGGTAAAAAGGCTTAAATCCTGGTGAGAGACAGGAAACAGCCGAGGGTGGAGCCAGAGACCTGGGTTTGAATCCCAGCTCTGCAATTTGAGGGCTGGTTGACTTGGGGCAAATGATTTCACTTTTCTGAAGATTCCCTTTCCTTATCTGTAAAATGGGAATAATTCCTGGGATGATTGTGAGGCTATTGGCCTCTGGCTCCCTTTGCCTCCTGAAGGGGACCCATCTGCGCACTCCCAAGAGGGGCTTCCAGGCTTTTCTGTGATTTGGCAGCTGGTAAGGCGAGGCCAGAGCACTGGACCTGGAGTCATCAGCCTGTGTTTGTGCCCTGGCTCTGACACCAGCTGCTGTGTGACCCCGGGCCTTTCTGAGCCTCAGTTTCATCACCCATAAGATGAAGGCTGTCAATGTGCCTGCCGGCAGAGGCCACAGTGACAGAGCCTCTCCTGTTCTTGTCCCGCTTCCCCTGACTCTCGTAAGTGTGCCCAATCAGCCTGTCTAAAGCCCCTGAGCCCACCCTGGCCGGACACTGGTCTAACCTCTACACCGGGACCGGGCAGGGTTCAAAGCCGTTCCCCAGGCCCAGCCTCGAGGTTCTGGGGCATTGGGATTTTATAGCTCTCCAGGTGATTCTGAACATGTGGACAAGGTTGAGAATCACCAGAACATTCTTCAAAGCCCCAAACTTGCCGGAAGCCCAGTCTTTACTCAGGCTCAGAGACACCCAGACTCTGCACTGGGGAGATCAAATGTGGGGAGCAAAGCCAAGTTCTCTCCTGTTCAATCGAGTGTTTTCCATAAAGCTCCCAGTTTGCTTAAATAATTCATGGCCATTTCTTCCCTTGAAGCCTCAACTATAGTGTGGCCTGAGGGCAGGGAGCCAGGCTGCTCATTAACTTAAGGTTTACTTTGCAAGGAAGGGCAGAAAGTTCAGAAAGGCCTCTCCAGGCAGCACACCCTGCCACTGGCTCAGCGCTAATCCTCCAGCAGGGGCCACGGCTGCGGCTTAAGCTCAGCTGAGGCTTGCAGGCCAGGGCAGAGGCTCAGACAGCTGGGACTGGAGTCCTTGTAGCTGCTTCCTGACTGAGGTCCCATGCCAGGCAGGGAAAACTCACCACTGCGCCCACAGTTTAAAGGAGCCACGGTTCTGGAGACCTGTTTTAATGTGCTTCCTTTAAGCACTACCATTCCTGGCCAGATTCATGTGATCAGAGGGTAGTTAGAGATCATTCATCCATCCCACCATCCATACCCATCCATTCACCCACATCTACCTACCCACTGGCCCATCCACCCATTCACTCATTCATCCTCCCATCCCTCCAATCTATCCTTTTAGCATTCATGCATTTATTTGCTTACAAAATAGGTAATGTATGCCTCCAACATACCAGGCACTGTTTTCAGTGGGAGGCATACAAGGTGAATAAGTAGACAAGGTCCTGGCTCCTAGATAGCTAGCTCACATTCTATTCAGAGAAGACAGAGAATGAACAAGTAAACAAGTATATGCACATGATAATTTTCCATGCTGATGAAAGGGAACATGAAAATAAGTCTGGGGTATGTGACAGAGAGGCTATGAAAGGCTGGTTTCAGTGGCATTTGAGTTGACCAGCGAGTGGGACCCAGCCCTTGGAGGGACAGTGCCCCAGGGAGAGAGGAGGAGTCAAAGCCCTGAGGTGGGGATGAGTCTGGCTTGTCTGAGGAAAGGTGGGACTGGAGCTGCGAGAGCAAAGGGGAGAGTTCAAGGTGACTGGCAGGTCTAGATCAAGTGGGGCCAGCGGGCAAAGGTGAGGAGTCTGGTTCATTCCAAATACTGAAGGAGCCAGTGAGGTGGGTGGGGCATGCATTTCCCGCTCCCCTGGCTGCTGAGGAACTGACTTAGAAGCGGTGAGGGGAAACAAGAAGTCCAGGTTAGAGGACTAAGGTGGTAGCTTAGCCCACGGGGGGCAGAGTAGATCCAATCTGCTCAACTTACTTTACCAGGGAAAGAAGCTCCGAGCCTGATCTGCGCCTTTTCCTTAGTTGGGCTCGAAGGTATCTACTGATGGACTGACAGATTCCATAACCCCTTCCCAACAGCTCAGGCTAACTGACTTCCACTTCTGTCCTAAAGTCTCCCACTCTTTGGAGGGACTCATCTCAGCCTACCCTTCCTTGTTCATTCCACGCCCCATGGACAGACCAGCAACGGGGAGGGACAGTGGGCACAACATTTGGGGCAGGCTTAGGAAGCCCGGTTGTAGCTCCAGCTCTGCTAGTTCTATGCTCTGTGGCTTTGAGCAAGTGCCTTCCCTTCTCTGGGCCTTGGTTTCCATCTGCATAAACAGGACCAGAGCTGGATGCTCCACTGAGGGAGGCCCCTCCTGGTTTAGACGTGCTCATTACGTCACCTCTGGGTCCCAGGGAGACGGCTCAGGGTCTTGCTTTGGCAGCCTCTTTCGGGGGCCCCCAGCCCACTGTCTGGCTGTATTCTGGGCTCTGACACAGTAAGTGCAGCACAGACATCATGGTTTTGAACAGACTGACTGCTGCTGCTTGTGAGACCTCAGACATGATTTCACCTCCGTGAGCGTGGGTTTTGAATCCATAAAGAGAGGATGCTAACACAGCCCTAATTTCAAGGTGCTCGAGATCAGTCATGAGGTATGCTGAGCGACCGGCTGGGCAGGGGACTGTCTTGTTCTGGCCAGCTCACCACCCAGAGGAGGGAGCAAGCCTCCAGCACCCAGGGACAGTGGTGAATGACCAGCTTCCCGTGAAGACTCAGGCGCCTGTCTTACCTCCAAGGCTTCGTAGTACATATCTTTAGCTTCCATATCTGTCTTGGCTGACATCAACCAGGATTTGATCAAATATTCATAAAAACTGTCCCCGAGTCCTCCAACCGAGACGTGGTCTGTGAGGGGAAAGAGGACAGGAACATTATCTCTATCTGCTGAGGCCGCCGGCGGGTGGCGTGTGTAGATGGGAAGCGAGCACTTTATCAGCAGCCTCCGAGCCCCAGACAGGGGCTGAAAAGAAGACACAGCCTGTGACAAGGGGGAGACCAGGGCTGTCCTGAGCATGTTCATCTTGCGCCAGCAGGCACAGGCTCACGCACGTGTCACGAGTCGCAGTGCCTTAGCAGGCTGAGGATGGCAGGGCCTCTGCTTATTAAGTAAAGGAGTTGCGTTTGTTTATGAAGATAACCTGGTGGCGGGGAGTTCAGAGACTTTTACTACCCGGTGACAAGCATGGGAATTAATGCTGGGCAGGTTCATAAAAGGCCACGGAGTGGAGGAACAAGAGGCTTAGTTTAGTTGGTCAGAGCACTGTGCCACTTGGAAAACCAAGTTTAAATGTAGCCAGTTGGGATAAATGTATTTCAAAGCATCGGGAAGGGAAAAAATCAGGGTTGAAGACCCCCTTTCTTCCCTGGTGGCATCGTGGGGAGTTGCCTGGAGCAGGACATCCAGGTTGTGCCTGAATGAGGGGGTATCTCCCCCGGGGCTGCCCCAGGAGAAGGACGGGCTGACCAAGGAGCACTTAGGCACAGAACGTACTCCACTCACATGCTTTAAACATTAACAACAGGGGAACATAGGCATTTAAAGATATAACAAAGAGCAAACTTCAGTGGCCTGTTATGATGCACTTATGCAGAGAGACATAGAGGAAGGAAAATGGGGCAAGGTTAATAAGGTGGGCTTGGGGGTGGGGGGAGTATTTCCTGCTCCTCTGGAAAAGGTAGGGGTAGCAAGAGAGAAGAGAAGGAAGATGGTGGAGAGGGGAGAAAGAAGCAGAGAATACACCAAACAGCCACCATTTGTTAAGGGTCTACTGTGGGCCAGGAACTTTACTGTCTGGTTTACAACAATCTTCCCAAGAACCCTGCAAGGGAAGCATTATGAGCCCCATCTGCCAGAAGGGAAAACCAAGAGCGAGGCTAACTAGCCCGCCCAAGGGCACCACGCTGGTAGAGCCCTGACGTCCTGCAGCTTTACAGTCAACCAGAGAACGCAAACAAAGAGATGGGGCAACAAAGGCCAAGTGCGCAGAGAGGGACAAAAGTGGAGGGTAAAGACAGGGGGCTGAGAGGAGGTTCTGGCAGGAAGCCAACCCTCCCGGCCCTTCCAGAAATAAATCCTGGCCTGCACAAGCCCTTGGAAAAATCGCAACAGACCAGATGAAGCCTGAGCCTTGGGGAGAAGTGGGAGGGACTTAGTGAGGGCTGGACTTTGCGTGTGCAGAGGGGCCACAGAGCCAGCATGGCGGATCCCTCACCCCTCACTCCTGGGCAAGCACAATGGGGGGCCAGGGATGTGCCAGGCCCTGTATGAGGATGGTGCATCCATGGCTGGATTAGGAGGTCTGTGCAGAGCGGGAGGGAGGGGGAACGTTGCAAGTCAAAACTGGGTCAGCTTCTGCTAAGAGCCTGCAACAGCCATGGCCCACAGAAGGGGGCCCTGGCCACAGGCACGCAGCTGGGGCACTGTCATCTCTGCACTCATCTCCTGGGCCTGCCTCCTTTCACCTCTGCCACCCCAGTCTCTCCCAGCTTCCGGCCTTCCCACATGGCTTCTTCCTGTGATGACCCCCACCAGGAATACCCTTCCCCCTTGCCTGGCTAATGTTTCCTCACTGCTACACCTCTGCTCAGGCATTCCCCTCCCCAGACAGGCTCTCTGCAATGTTCTCAAAAGGCTGCAACAGGCTCTCCCTGCGGGGTGATGATGAGCAGTGAGATAAGGCACACGCAGCGGCTGGCCCAGTGTGCTTCCCCGGGGGAAGCGCTGAGTGGCAGCCACCCCACCGCTGCCTCGCCACCGGCTGCTTGCAGCACTTGCTCTAAGTATCTGTTTCAGGGTCTGCCTAATGCACTAGGCTGTGAGCTACTTGTGGAGAGGGACCTTGTGTGATTCCCATTCCATACCCAGAACCTGTATGGCACCTAGCAGATGCCCAGTAAGTCCTAAACGAATGAAAGGAAGGTAGGTTTGAGCTGGGCCGGTAAGGGCCCCACATGCCCAGCCAAAGAGTTTGGATTTCACGTGATTAGAGTGTGTGTGGGTGATGTGGCTGGGGCCTTCATCTACCAGGTGTGAGCAGGAGAGGGGACCCAGGTCACCAGGAGTTCCGTGAGTGTTTGAGACATGACACCCTCTCAGGGAAATGTGCATGATTTCTGAGGGGCTCAGACTGAAGTGGCCAGTTCTTCTTTGGGGTCCCACAGCTTTCTTGCTAATGTGTGTGTGCTGTCTCCCCGGCCCCATGTGGAGCACAGAGAAGCACAGGAGTGGGACTGAGCCACTCAGTGGGTGAGCCAGACATGGGTCGGCCACTAGCTGGAGCAAGCCACTTCCCCTCTGGGCCTTTGTCTTCTGATGGATAAAATGTGAAAGAGGAGCATGAGTTGGCATCCATGAGCCTTAGAGCAGAGACAGTAGAGGCTGCAGATCCCTACCAGCTGGGGAGCTGGTCAGCAGGGAGGTAGCCCCAAGGCTGCCAGGCAGGGGTGATGGGCAGCTCACCCTCCTACACCCACTGGGGAGAACCCGGACTTCCCACTGAGGAAGGGTGTGGGATTCAGGTGGTGGGCGAGGAGGAGGAACCTCTCCAGGAGCCAAGCGGAGCGGCCGGCAGGTCTCTGGGCTCTCAGTGGCTCTGCCTGGGTTGGGCTCATCTGTGCTTGATGCCAGCAGTTCTGGCTGAGGAGTCCTAGTGGCAGGAGGGTCTTGGTCTCCCCTCTTATCCTGAAGCTCAGCTTCAAGCAGGAGTGAAAAGCAGGCAAGCACAGAGGCTTGGGACTGGGATGCAGCCCCAATTCCTCCTTCTCTCTATGCTGCAATTTCTGTGGTTGCAAATGGGCTAAACAGAAGATTCAAGGAGAGAAAAGAATGTGAACCCAACTAGCTTATGCAAGTCAGGAATGTTATCATCTGCTGGAAAAATACACAATTTCCAAAAAAGAAAAAAAAAAGAGAGAACCCAACAAAGCCCACAGAAAACCTGCGATGACCCCGGGTGCCAAAGCCAGGGGACGGGAAGGCAAGTGCCCCGATGGGCAGGGTTTCACATCCCTCTGCTCTTGAGCAGTCCCCGGACTCATGGTTTATTAATATGAAACGATTTTCCATATGTGACCAACTTTGCACAGCCCTGCGACCCTTGGCTCAGCCGGAAAAGAAAATTATGCTTCTCCGAGGGGGCTCTCCTGTAATTTGCCCCGGTAGCTGTTCAGACTGGGAAGCTATGCCCCTCTCCTTCTTCTTACGGGTTCTGTGGCCTTGTCCAAGAGCAGGCCAGCAGTGGGGCAGTTTATCTCTTTACCCAGGCAGGCCTTCCAGTTAAAAGCAGTAACAGTTATTGAACTGTCTCTTCCTGTGGCCATAATCTGTAATTCAAACCTTCATTTTCTCCAGGCACTTTTGGATTTGGCAGCGTGTTTTGGTTAAAGATACTTTGCATTTCTATCAGCGGTTTTTGCAGGAGGCCACTTGGGAGTGGGGTCATCACTGGGGAAAATTCCTGGATCGAATTTTCTGAGCCTCCTGGACCTGAGGATCATAGAGGCTCAGGGCTGGAAGGACAGGCCTCTGCAGTTTCTCCACAGTATCCTGCGGTATGCCAGCCCTCCAGGCCCTGCTTGCATGCTTGTACTGATGGACGCACATTACCTTTTAGGACACCCATATGGTCTTTGGAAGATGAACTGAAATCTGCTTCCTACAGCTTCTGACCATTCCTCCCCCACCCTGCCACTGGTACATAAAGAACATATGCCCAGCTCTTCTCCCAATTTGCAGGAAAGGAAGACAAGGCTCAAAGAGACGAAGTGAACTCTTTCCCCTCTTGCAATAATTAGACTCATGTCTATTTGCCCCAGAGCCCTTGCTGATGCCATAGCAACTGGGGCTAGAGCTGGGGGAAAGGGAGAGGGATCCTTGTTTGGGCAGAGGCAGGGTCCACGGAACCTGTGACCACCCATTTGCACCGTGGCCACATGACCAGGGCCTTTGTCAGGAGGGCCAGGCAGAGGCAAGCTTCTGGACAGGGGAGCAACCCCTGGGCTCTGGGAGACTGAACATTCTCCCGCCTGAGCATCCCCCTAAATGCTTCAGTGGTAGAGCTGGGGGCTGTGATGAGGCTCCACGGGTCACTCACAACTGTATGATGGAGAAACAAGCCTCTGAACAGAGAACAGCAGGCAGTCCCCAGACTGATTCTTGCAGGTATAAGACACAGCAGCAAATTAATAATTTTTCTATGGCTGCATGGTTAGGCTTTGCCTAAAATTAAAAAAAAAAATAAAAAAGCTAAAGTTGGAGGTGAGGAACTAGATCAAAGGGGCTGGGGGAGAATGTGTGGCCTTTCTGGCAACCACCTCCAGAGTAGACTATTCTATCTGGAACATTTCTACAAGTTTGGGGATGATGGGGGCTTCAGGGGCACCCTAAAGATGGGAGGCTGGAGACAGCTAGTGTGGGGCGGTACACAGGGCAGGACCTTACTCCATGGCTGCCATCACACTAGTCACAACAGCAAGACAATAATGAAACTCCGCAGGCCTGGCAGGGTGGGCGGCAGCCAGGAGCCCTGGGTGAATGCCTCACGGGCAGGTGGCTCTGAAGAATGCATCCTTCCTCACTCAGCCCAGGTGCCTGGCCCAGGGCCGGGTCCAGGAGGGGCAGGAATCAGCTGACAAGGGGCAGCGGCCTCCTGTACTCACGTTGCATCCAGTTTCCGCTCACTGGGCTGAGGAAGTTGGGGTAGAGGCCGAAGGGCTTATCGATCTTCCTGAGGACCTTCCGGATGTTCCTGACCTGCCAAGAAATGGACACCAGGCACACTTCACTTCCTGAGCCACCCAGCCAATTCCCAGCCCATCGGGGACTGAGGCAGCTGGCTCGGATCCAGAGGAGGCCTCCCCACGAGGCAGGCAGGGAGCACGCATGACCAACAGCAGGCTCCAGCCCGCGGTGGGGAGATGGCCTTGCCCTGGTGCCCACGCCCGGGGTGTGGCAGGCCACGGCCATGCGGGGGAGGGGGCCTGCCCCCCAACCTGTGCACTGATCGCTCCGCCTGGGGCCCTGCCAGGCCCCCTACTCCCAACCTCATTGTGAATTGCTTTGGAGGGTGTGTTCTTAGGATGGGGGTTCATTTAAGTGACAGTAGCTCACCTGTGACAGCTAGGTAAGATGGCCTTTTTAATAGGGCAGAAACGGCCAAATGTTGACAACTTCAGATGGTTCGAACTAGTAGTATGTTATTTTATTTGATGCCATAGGAACCATTCCAGAGGAGAGTCTGTGCTCTCCAATACCCCTGTCCCCTATTAGGGGTGCCTATCAGATGTCTATTAGCATCTCAGGGTTTTAGAAACAGCAACTACAAGAGCTGTTAACATTTCTCAGTTCCTCTGAGCCAGACCCATTATATACATAATCTCCAACCCTTAGAACAACCTATACAGTATCTCTGTTTAACAGATGAAAACCTGAAGCTCAGACAGGTTAGGTGACTTGCCTGTGGGCACCCAGGTGGTAAGTAGCACAGCCAGGACCCGAGTCAGCTGTTGTCTGACCACAGGGAGCAGCCTGGCTCCTACACAGATCAGGGAAGGGACCACAGGGATGTGCAGCACAGCCTGGGGCAAGAAGAGGCTGGATCTGCAACCTCGGGGGCTGTGAAGGGCAAGAAGCAGGACGGCTTGATCCCTCAGGGCCTGCTCTTTGGCACTACCCGAAAAGCTCCCAGGACAGAATCTGCCTGGACAGAAGGGCCCGCAGGGACCGTCCTGTATCCCACTCATAGACTGATCTGTAAGGGAGGAGCAGGAAGAGCAGCCTTTTAGCCTTTTACCCTTTCTTTCCAGGGTCTGTGCTTTGGTTTGCCGCCTCAGATTTCAGCCATCGACACTGACGTAGTCCACTATCGGGGCAGGAATGCGCTGGTACCTGAGGTATTCCTAGCTGCCCTGGTGGTGAGCAACGAAGCAGGCTATATTAGCACCCCCCACCCCCCCAGGGTGCGGGTGCTTGTAGAATTTGGGCCAATTTGTTGACTGCCAATAATCGCCTCTGTGGGAGGCATGACTGGGGGATGAAAATAGCCAGAGAATGTAAATGTAGAAACAGAAAGAGGCAGATTGACTCCAGAGAAGAAGCCTGCAGTCTGCCATACTGATCTGTCCTGGAAGAGCAAGTGCGGGGCCTCAGAGCCAGGAGGTCCAAGGCCTGGCCCTGGCTCTCTCACCGAGGAGCTGGATGCCCTGGGATGAGTGATTTAACTTCTCTGGGCCTCAGTTTCCTCCTCTATAAAATGGAGATAACAGGAAGTCCTACCTCATAGAGTTGTCAGGAGGATCAGAGACACTATAAGGAACCCAGCACACAGTAGGTGCACAGGCAGTTGTAGCTGGTATCTCCTGGCTAGCTGGGGACCAGAGTGAGGCCCTCGTCCCAGGCCATTCGAGACCGTCAAGATCTTCCTAGAGGAGATCAGCCCAAAAGCAATAGAGGAAAAGAGGGCAGGGAGCGCTTGGACATGGGAAAAAGAATCAGAAAATAAGACCCATTTGGAAGTGGGATTAAATTTATTCCACAAACTTTCAAGAGGGTGTATAGCAGGGCAGCAGGTTCCTTGTAGTATAGGCACACCTTGGAGACATTGTGGGCTGGGTTCCAGACCGTCACAATAAAGCAAATACTGCGATAAAGCTGGTCAAAGGTATGTTCTGGTTTCCCCGTGCATATAGAGTTATGTTTACACTATACTGCAGTCTTTCAAGTATGCGATCAATAGTATCATGTCTAAAATATAGTGTAATGCCTTAATTAAAAGACTCTTTATTGCTAAAAATGCTAACCGTCAACTGAGCTTTTGGTGATCATTGATCACAGTTCACCATAACAAAATTATGACAAGGTTTGAAATACGGTGAGAATTACCAAAACGTGACACAGAGACACAAAATGAGCAAATGCCATTGAAAAAATGGCGTCGATACCTTTTTGACACAAGGTTGCCAGAAACATTCGATTTGTAAAAAATGCAATACCTGCCGAGTGCAATAAAGTGAAGCTCGATAAAACTAGGTGTGCCTATGCAAGGGAAAAGCTGCTGAAGGCGACACCCTCTCAATGTCAGGAACAGCTTCTGGAGGAAGGTCTGATGTGACTGGCTGTTTAGGGTTTAATTGGCTGTTTAAGATCCCTAATGCAGAGGAAGTAATCAAGGGGTCGAAAAGCTCTTCTTCAGCTTCTCAAGAATGCCCAGGTGGATTCCCACACTGAATAAGCAGTAGTCCCAAATCAGGCATCAAAAAGCACATGAGTTTATTAAAAATGCAGACTTCTGAGTGATGCTCAGAGATCTGTTTCCTTACAGGTGCCAGGAGGCTGGCCTGCCCGCATGAGACAGGAGCCATAGGGTAGAGGTGTGGATCTGTGACCTCCCAGCTCCCTGCGCGTTCTAAGAGGCCAACATTTGGGGACGGGGGCGAGGGGAAGAGAAGGTGTGGGGGCCTCCAAAGGGTTCTTGCAGGGCAGGGCATCCCCCACCCAGGCAGGACTCAGCAAGGAACAATCGCTGGTGATCCTGAGAGCCACTAAGGGTGCTGCGTATGCGTCCATTCTCTGGGTTTATGGTTAGACCCACGGAGACACTTCCAGACAGTGTGATGGCCAAAGGCTGCCACACTGAGGAACTGCTCCTTCTGGGGGCCTTCACAGAGGGGAGGGACAGGCACCTGTCTGGGTGGACTATGGCCAGGATGCCAGCTCTCAGCACCCGTGGCCTTAGCCAGATGCTTGTCCCTGCTGTAGAGGGAAATGGCTTTGCCTGCCCAGTGACATGAGCTGGAGGGGCATCTGGAAGGGATGGCAGGCAGTCCTCACATGAGAAAGCTAATTGTCCCTGGAAGGGCGGCTTGTGCACCCCGTGGCCAGTTCTTGCCCAGGTGAGCAAGCAGGCGCCTGGATTTCAGGATTTCAGGATTTCAGTTGTTGCACTTTCTCCAGGTTTCCCATATGTGGGTTTCCTGTGGAGCTGATGTGCATACCAGTGAAAACCTCGCTAGCTGCCCTGCCCTCTGGGATCCTGATCGCCCCCTGGGATCACCTTCCCTGCTCCCTGGCTTCTGGGACCAACACGTCTCCCAGAGTAACTTGTCTCCCAGAGTAACTTTGCTGCTGTATCAGTGGTGGCTGGAGGCCTTCTGAGTTCCCCACCCACCTACCCTCCCTCCCTGTGGCCTGTGATGGGCTGACAATCAGCCTCAGTTCTCCTGGGGGAGAAGAGGTCGGAGCTGTTTGGGGAGGGAGCCAGGAGAAGACTTGCCTTTTCTGCGAAGACCTGGTTGCCAGAGAGCTCGGTGAGGTGTAAGAACTCCAAGTGCAGGGACCCAAACTCCGCCAGGATGCTGCTGCTCCCAGCCACAGCCCAGCCCCAGCTTCTGTTGGAGCCACTGGAAGATAGAGGCAGCCCCAGTCAGCCCCCTGCCGGCTGGGCTGGCTCCCCTGCTGAGAGTAACAGTGACCGCTTCCTGGGGGAGCACTTACGATGTGTCAGGCACTGGAGCAGGAGCTTCCACGCACAATCTCACCTAATCCTCCTGGGGGTGGGGCCTATGATAGCCCCGTTTTGCTGATGAGAATGGAGGTGCCTGGCTGGAGGGGACCTAACCCAGGTTTGTGTCTGATTTGCAGTACTCTTTGTTTCTGTTGTCAAGCGGCCCGCATAAGACGTGTGGGATTGAGTAGGTTAGTAGCAGAGCTGCCCTGTGGCACACAAGTGATGCTAAATTTGCAGGTGATACGACCAGGCTGTCAGGGTCCACAAAGACCCCAGGAGCACTCTTCTCATCCCGGCTGAAGGCGACTCAGCTGCTTCACCATCAGTGGTGCTGTGTGCGGAGGGTAAATGGGGCTGCGGTGGGGGCCTGAACGGGACAGATGAACAGCAGGGTCCCCACCTGGCCCTTTCTCTCTCCCCACACTGTCAGTGCTGCCTGAGGACATACAATGGCCCCCACCTGCAATACTGTGTCACCCACACCTGACGGGCAGGTGGCTCTGACCACACACTCAGAGCTGCTGGTCCCTGGGGAAGCCCAAGGTTGGGGATAAAGGAAACGGGCTCTCAGAGCAAGTTTCCTCATGATCTTAGATAGCAGCATGGAAGAGTACAGACACAGGGTCTCAGGTAATGCTCCCAACTGCCCATTTTATAGATGAGGAAAATAAGGCACAGGACATGATGTCACCCACCCAAGATCAAGATCACACAGCGGAGCACCTGGGACCCAAGGCTGGTGGGCTGCCAGGGCTGGTCCTGACCACTGCACAGCCTGCCTCTCTTCTACTTATACAACAATAAGCAAGGACACTGCCTTTCCAGATGCTGTCCCTTGAATTCCCCCGGGATCTGCAGCCAGGAGGCTCAGGTTCAAGGTTGTTAGCTGAGAGGCCTTGGGCAAACCATTTCCTCTTTGTGCATGGTAGTTATTGCATCCGGCAAACGGGGTAAGGGTAACTCGTTCCTGTCTCTGTTCCCAGGGCTTTGTAAGATTCAAGGAGAAAAGGAAGGTGCAGAATGGGGGTGGTCTTGGGAAAGCTGCTTCCCCTCCCCATGCCTCAGTTTCCTCATATGTATCATGATTATTTTTCCTGTGAAACATTTAGAACAATGAGGGGACAGGGGTCAACCTCCCTCTGCAAGGAGCTTGTGGGGGACAGAGGGTGGGGACAGAGCAGGGTGGAATGAGCACCCCCTATTTGTAGGGGCTCCAAGGTGTGGCTGGCGTGACAGGTGGAGGGGCTGGCTCTGCTGGGACCTCTAAAAGCCCCTCTGCTTCCTCACTGTGAGAGCTCTGACCATCCAGGAACTGGCCTCTGTCTGTCTGTTTCCCAAGATGGACTTGGGAAGGCAGGTGTGGGGGACGGACAGAGGGTCTGGGAGGTCATGCTTTGCCACCTGAGGGGTACCCCTTTTTCTGGGGTTGTCTGGGGCTCCCCTGAGGCTGCCCTTCTCTCTAAACTCCATTATCGGGCTTGCATGTAGTTTCTGGGGGAGTCAGGAAACTCATCAGTTTCTCAGCTGATTCCTGAGAGGGAGGGCTTGAATTTTAGGGTCTTTCAGAGCAGGTGACCTCAGTGAACTAAGATGACCACCGGCCCCTTCTTCCTGTCTCCCCTTCCCTGGCTGTTTCCCTGGCTGGGACAGGGGGCAGGTGGAGAGGGATGGGCGAAAGAGAGCAGAAAGTTCACTCCTGGGTAATAAATAAAACACCTTCTGTTTATCGAGCTGCAGCTGCAGATGCCGGGCACAGGGGCAAGCTGTCTGCATTGTGACTTCCCCTAAAGTCCACATGGTAAAGCATCATCAATCCCAGTACGCAAAGGAGGAAGCTGAGGCGGGGAGAGGGAAGTCAGCCGTCGGAGGTCAGAGCCCGTACACGTGGAGGTCTGCCACCTGGGAGGGCACTTCCCCAGGGGGCTCCCCACCCAGAGGGAAGCGGGAGTCCTTCCCCCAAGAGCCTCGTCCCCCGGGGCCAAGTGAGTCTTCTCTCTCCAGTTTGTGATCTCAGTGGGAGCTGCAGTACCCACATAGGGTTTCCTGAATAATTGATGCTTCCTGCCCTCACAAAGAAATTCAAGGTAAAAAAAAAAAAAAGCCACCAGCCACCCAGCTGCCTTTTGTTCTCATTTTTCCCACATTAGCCTCCCCTTCCTCTCCAGCTCTCCCAAGGCTCACCCTCCCAAGTGGGCTTCCTGTAGTGGGGCTGCCCTGGCAAACAGGCGCAGCCGGGGCTGGGCAGAGGCAGCCGGTGGGCAGCGCCCTCCTCTCTTCTGCCTGGTTACAAATGCTGGCTCCCCACTTCCCAGCTAGGTGACCTCAGGCAGATTGGTTAATTTCTCTAGACCTCAGTTTCCTCATCTGTTAAATGAGCACCCACACTTCAAAGAATCATTGTGGGGTATAAATTCTGCACATGATTACTGCCATTTTAAACATTATGTAATTATGTACATGAAATTACATATTGTTTGAGTTTTTAAGTTCCCAATATGCACCAGGCAGCTGTGTTACCTTATCTTACCTTCACATCCAATTTCAGCGGTAGATACCATGGTTCTTATTTCATAGGTGAGGATACTCAGGCTCAGAGAGGAGGAGACACCATCCCAAGGTCACACGGTAAGTGACAGAGCTGGCAGAACTGAATACAAATCCTAGGTACTTTTGTGCCCCAAATTCCTCTGTTCCAGGCAGCCTCCAGAGACCAGGAGGTCTTCTGAGCAGCCCCAAGAGGCAATGGGCTAACAGAAACTCTCCCTCTCCCCTCTTGGCCTTTTAAGCCTGCAAGTGGGCCTGAAGCCTGTGTTCTGTCCCCTGGCAGGAGAGGCTGCTCCAGAGTGTTCCCCCTCAGCCCAGTGGAAGCTTCTACTTGCGTGTACTCATTCATGTATATGCTGTAATTGCTAACTTTGGAGCCAGACAGACCTTGATTGTAATTCTAATTTTGCTCTGCTTCTGTGTGACCTTGGGTAAGTTACCTCACCTCTCTGAGTCTCAGGTTCTTCACTGGTAAAATGGGTTCCACGTGGTTGTTGTGAGGTTGAAAAGAGAATTCATATCACATGCTCACATCGTGCCTGGCACACAGTGAGCACTTTATAAATATTAATTATTGAGATGTTAGATCTGAGTATGGCCTGAGCATACATATGTAAATGCATATTTGTGTGTGAACATGGGCACATAGGTATGGGTGCAGGTGTGTGTGACAAAGTGATCTTGTGTGTATCTGAGCCTGTATGATTTGGATTGGGTGGCTGGAGAGAGAGAGAGAGAGAGAGAGAGAGAGTGTGTGTGTGTGTGTGTGTGTGTGTGTGTGTGTGTACCGGCCACAGCCACTCTGCCAGGTAGGCCAGGGCTCCTTGCAGGTCACAGGTCACGGCTGTCCCTGCCTCTGCCTCCAGAGCTGGCCTATGCAGACACACCTCCCCACTAGGGGACAGCAGTCACTCTTGCTTGAGGACCACCTCCCCTCCAGGGGCCTCCTCACCCAGCAGCTCAGGGCAGAGCCTAATTATGTACCCCTCCTGCTGGGACCCAGTCCTGCCCTTCCTCTTAGGGCTGCCACAGTGGGCCCTGTCTGGAGCAGGGGTGGCAGTGTGTGGCCCACCAGCAGGCCCTCTCCAAAGAGCAAACTTCACACCACATGGGCCCTACTGGAGCAGGGTGGCGTTTTTAGCAACAGACTCTCTTACCCAGAAAACGAAGGGGAGGTGTTGCCAGGAAATATGCATATACATACATATGTATACCGCACTGGCAGTGCGCAAGCAGCTTAAAAATAAATGCAGTTTCTTAATCAGAAATGTCAGGATCTGTGTCAGATCAGGTCTGGGCTATGAGGTCGTGGGTAAGGCAATAGCCGGGGTTGTGGTTTGATGGGCTTGGGGGCCGGCAGTGCCACGCACAGAGGAGGGCAGGATGCCTGAGCCAAGGTCCTCTCCTGGGCCCTGGGCAATGAGGCCAGAGGAGCTGGACTTGGGAGACGGAGCTGGGGAGGCAGTGTGTTGTGTCTGGGTTCCAAGAGAGATGGCTGTGTTTCTCTAGGGTCAGTGTTTATGGGAAAGGAATCTAGCAGAGATCCAAGTGTCCAGCTCTGAGGAGTCAACCCTGGCACTGAGAAGGGGACTCAACCAACCCTGAAGGTCTCTCTGTGGCCTACGGTGAGATTTAAGTGTGGTCACCTCCCAGGAATGCTGTCCAACCACAGGGACAGTAGGTGAAGATGCTGAGCAGGCCAAGTCCCCTCTTGTTTGCAAGGCCCAAGATGGGGTGGTGAAGCAATTGAGGTGGCCGAAAGAGTGGGACCTCCGCAGGACAGAGAGGGAACCACACTCCACAGAGCCCAGGGCTCCTGCCTCGCCTCCTGCAGCCTCCCTCCCTCCTGGGCAGCTGGCTGAAGCTATTGTTGAATTGAGAATTCTGAGAAAAGAAATCACTTCAGGCGATGGGACTGGGAAAGGGAAGTCCTGCAGTAGAAATATTACAGCCTTCCTCCCAGGTTTGGGCAGGTAGGAGGCCTCAGAGCTCCCCCTGGTTGCCCACTGCCATGGCTCCCAGGGCCTGCTCCACCACACAGCAGCAGCGGGGCTCCTGCCTGGGGGGTGGGGGTGCCAGGCAGGCAGTGAGAGCAGAGCTTTCAATCTGTCATGAAATGGGTTTAAACCTTCGTGCCATTACCTATTAGCTAAAAGATCCTGGGCAAGTTACTTTATCTCTCTGAGACTCCATTTGAGTAATGGGGATCCGATGAATACCTACCTTCAAAGGATTGGTGTGGGGGGTGCATCTGGGGAGGCCAAGTATGGAAACCCTTACTTAGCACAATGCCAGGCACACAGCATTGCTCAGTAAGTGGTAGATGGTAGAAACAGTGTCATTATTAAATCTTTTTTCTGAAGCGCAAATATTTGTTGAAGGGGTGAGCAAAGAATTCACATGGATCCTGCCCTTGAGAAGCTCCCAGCCTGAGGGAGAAGAATGTGAGTGTGAGTGTGAGGAGGCCATTGAGAGGCAGATGGAGTGCCTGGAGCCCAGGAGAGGCTGACATTTTTGGCTTAATGGCAAAGGTGGTACATGAACTGGGCTTTCAAGCCAAGGAAGCTGGGAGAAAAAGGCCATCGGTGGAAGAATGGAGTGAGGGGCGGTAACACGATGGCGCACATCTGGATCCCCAGGAGCAGCATTCATACTCCTCGACAGACCTGGGAGCCGGCCGGCCGTTAGTTCTCCTGACTCTGCCCTGTCCTTTCCCCTCTCAGTCGCCACATTTGGAAAATGAATGGACGGAAGTACACTGGAGCCCCATGAAGGGGAAGGAAGCAGCAAGGGAAGCTGGGGGCGCAGGGAAGCGCCCTGAGGGCCTGGAACTGGACAGAGCTGCGCCACCGGCTTCCCCTCCTCCAGCTGTGCTGCCCACGGCCCCTTCCATGCTGGCATTCTGTGACTTAGGGCTGCCCAGAAAGACCCCCGTTCACACACGCAATTAACCAACAGATCAGGAGGGGTGACGATTGAAACGGCCAATAAAGTCAGGGCTTCAAAATGGAGCCCATAGAAAGAAACATCACCAGTGATTTCTTTGATTAGTGGAAACGTGATTTTTGGGGGTCTTATCCAACACTTTTGTTAAAAATCCACATTTTCTGCAATGAGAATGTAGTAGAGAGAGGAAAATTCCAATAAATATCATTATTAAAAATGGAGTTGGAAGTCCTGGGTTTGTGTCCTGGGAAGGTCAGTTACTGGCTTCTCTGACCTCTGCCAGGGCCTTTACTCCTCCAAGTCTGACCCTCTGTGGGCTGGATGCTCCCAGAAGTTCCTCTGGGTTCTGACACTGGGCTCCTGAGACCAAGCCCTGCTGGGAGTCGGCAGACTGGGAGTCCCACTACCCCGGGCCCCGAGACCCCCTTGCATCTTTAGGGACGTCCAGGTTGGGGCGTATCTGGAGGGCTGTGAGTCAGGGCAGTGCCGTGGGACAGTCACAGAGGAACAGCTGCCCCCTCCCCACCCTAGGAAGATCAGGCCCTGGGTATCCCAAACCCTGAGAACCAGGCTTGGTGTCAGACAGCAGCCCAGGAGGGCCCTTGGCTAAGGCTGGTGTTCCCTGTGCCCTGACTCTGTGACGGCCGAGGTGGGCAGTGAGCTCCCCCTGCGCCTCCTTGCAGAGGCGGCCAAGAGCAGGAGGGGATCGGAAGGCGCCCTACCTTTTGAAGTTCACAACGCCTTTTGGGATTCCTGTGGGGGTGTTGAAGGCTGGTAGGAGTTTCTCCCCAAGCTTGATGGCCTTGACTCGGAACACCTGTAAGAAAAGGGTCAGAGGGCACAGTGAGTCCAGGCTTGAGGGGTGTCATCGCCACAGGCTGCTCCTGCCACCATGGCGGGGCTCAGAGGGGGAGGGGGCACCGCGGCAGGCCTGGATGTGAACTGGCTCCATGGTCTCAAGTAAGGCACCTCTCTCTGAGCCTCGACTCCTCCCTTGTTCATAAAACAAGGACAGTCTTGCCTTCTCAGGGCTCCTGGGAGTTGTGAAGTTGTAAAGCCCTTACCAGTGTCAGGACTGTGAGGGGGGTTCAGTGTTATAAGTGACTAGGGTGACCAGTGGGAAGATGAGGCAGCCCCTGCCCACCCACGGGATGTCACAGGCCAGGCACGTAGGAAACACATTTGGAGTGAGTACAAAGAGCACAGGTCTGGGAGCCCAGTCCCCACCCTGTCCTGACCCCAGAGCTTGGCTTCTGTGTGCTTCTCAGCAAACCACTGCCTTCCCTTGTGTAACCAGGGGAGCGGCCTTTCCCCTTTGACATTCTGATTTTGCACACTCTTCCCATTTCACAGATGTGAACAGAGAAGGTGAATGGCTAACCGACCGATAAGGCTGATGGTAAGGGAGGGAGCAGAAGGAGGTCCCAGGCCTCAGGGCCCCTGCCGGAGGCTCTGATCCCCTCAAACTGATCTTCTGACTCATTCAAGAGTGCCCATGACTTCTGACTCAGCAGTTTCCCTTCTAGGAATTTATTCTAAGGAAATAAATAATCAAGGATGTTGTAAAGATTTACCTCTACGGCTATTTATTCCAGCATTGTTTAGAATAGGGGAGAAATGGAAATACTCCAAATATCAAACAATAGGGAAGTGGTTAAATTATGGCTTATCCATGCAGTGGGTTAGCATGCGACCACTGAAATGATGCTGTAGAAGGTTATTTAATAGCAAAGGAAGGGCTTACAATCTGTTAAGAGGAAAATATTTCAAAATAGTGCCATTGAACTTTACTAAAAATTATATTCACGTGGACATGTGAGGAAAGGTTTGGAAGGAAATATTAACAATGATTAATATTTCAGAATGTCATATTCCAAAATATTGTGTTCACAAATATATCACCAGAATATTAATAATGGTCTCCTTGGTGGGTAGGTTCTTTTCTTTTGGCTTTCTCTATTTTCTGTGCAAATTTTATAATAAAGACAAATCCACAATAAACATTATGTTTTAAAATGTGAGACTGCAAATCCCTCAGCAGCTGCTCCTGGGGGGAACAGCACACGGGTCCTTTACTTCTGGAGCTCAAGGGTGACCCAGTTTGCTGACCTCCTGTGCGTTGTTTCAAAACAAAGTCTTCCTGAGGTTCCCCATCCCAACACATGCTTGAAAAATGCCAAGGCAGCTGTTTGGGGAATGCAGTGAGGGAAGCATCCATGAACTCCCCTACGGGCTGTGGGTCAGCAGCCTGAGAGGCAGGTGTGGCTCCTGCTTAGGGAGGGAGGGGGAAGGGAACATGGGCCCCAGGGCCCCGCAGTGATGCGCGAGACAAGAAGGCAGCATCCAGTGCCAGAGACGGGACCCAGCCACGTCAGAACCTCTGGGGGAGCTTGTCTAGAATCAGATTCCAAAGCCTCGTGTCACCCCATAAGCCACTGGTTCAGCAACTACTAGGGGCTCCTGATATCTTCATGTGACTCCTAGGAAAGCTGAGCACAGAGGCACAAACTGGTCCTGAGCCACTGCTGAGGTCCCAGACAGCTGCCTGGCTGTCCTCTGCCCTGAGGACTCTGAGCTCACTCCTCTTAAATGTTCCTCTCAGCCAGCAAAACATGCCTCCGCCTTCAGAAGGCCCTGCTGCCAGCTGGCACTGCAGGGCCTCAGCCATCCCAGGGAGGATGCTGAGCAAGTGTGTGTGGACAAGGGAGGCACCCTGCACCAGAAGAACACTGGTCCTGCTTCTCATCTTGGAAGCGAGTGGGTGTGTGACGAGCTCTGGACCCGACTCCAGAGTGTGTGTGTGTGTGTGTGTGTGTGTGTGTGTGTGTGTGTGTGTGTGCACGCTTATCATCTTGGAAGCGAGTGGGTGTGTGACGAGCTCTGGACCCGACTCCAGTGTGTGTGTGTGTGTGTGTGTGTGTGTGTGTGTGTGCGCGCACGCACACGCTTATCATCTTGGAAGTGAGTGGGTGTGTAACGAGCTCTGGACCTAACTCCAGTGTGTGTGTGTGTGTGTGTGTGTGTGTGTTTATCATCTTGGAAGCTCTGGACCCAACTCCAGTGTGTGTGTTTTCCCCAAATCACCAGACAATTCTGATAAAAGCTGGGTGTCCTACAGTTAACTCAATTCTAAGACTATCTACCAGGAGATAGCACCAGATTCCACAGTTTAAGGATTCAGTCCTACAAGACTGTCCCTTCCACCCCTACCCCACCCCACACTTCTGATGACAGTCACAAGCCCAGGGTGTCACCTGGACTTCTGACCCACTGCCTATAAATCAGTTTTCTACAACCTCCTCCTTAGGTTCAATTAATTTGCTAGAGCAGCTCACAGAACTCAGAGAAACATTTTACTTGCTGGGTTACCAGTTTATTATAAAAGGATACCACTCAGGAACTGCCCGACAGAAGAGATGCATGGGGCAAGGTGTGGGGAAAGGGCAGGGAGCTTCCAAACCTCCTCCAAGGGTGCCATTCTCCCCAGATCTCCATGCACTCACCAACCTGGAAGCTCTCCAAACCCAGTCCTTTTGGGTCTTTTTTTGAGGATTCAATACATAGGCATGATTGATTAAATCTTTGCCCACTGGCTATTGATTCAAATTCCAGCCCCTCTCTCGTACTGCGGTCAGGGGACTGCGACTGACATTCCAACCTTCTAATCACAGGTGGTTCTTCTGGCAACGAGCCCCTACCGTGGGGTCCAAAAGACACAATGATCTGTTCTCACCACTTAGGAAATTTCAGTGGTTTTAGGAACTCTGTGCCAGAAATGGGATGAAACCAAATTTGTATTTCTTGTTATAAATCTCAGTATCAGTGCCACCTATATGATTTTCAATCCTTGTAACAACCTGTGAGGAAGGTATTGACCCACTTAGAGGATGACAAAACTGAGTCTCAGAGAAGCAATTTGCCCAAGGTTGTACAGCTGTTAAATGGCTCTTTTTCTGGTACACCAAGCAGCTTTTCCAACAAAGATATGGCCTCAGACAGCCATGGTAAGCAACAGCCAGTGGCCCAGGGATTCTAGAACAGATGCAGAGAAACCAGCAGGAGTTACCATCTGTAGAGTGGAAAGGGCACTGGGCTGGGAGTCAGAGCCTAGGTTCAGATCTTCCCAATTAGCAGCTGTGTGATTTTGGGGGAGCCATGTACCATCTCTGAGCCTCAACTGCACAATGGAATGGTACATGTGCCCTGGCTGCCTCACCAGGTTCTTCTAGAAGTCAGATGAGAGGATGTATGTAAGTGGCTGTGCTATATAAATTGTGCAGTGCCGTGCAAAGGTCGCCTGCTTGGCCGTGGGTATACCTGTCACTGTCATGGGAGTCTCAGCAAGGCTGGTTCCCTCTCAAGCAAAGAAAGGGCTCAGCCCAGGCAGAGGTTTAGGGTTTCCATCACCATTCATTCCACCAATATTTGTGGGAAATTTTAAGAACGGAAAGGCCTGCTCCTCAGGCACCCACTGTGTGTGAGATCGAGGACTGAGATAGGAGGGAGGCCTCAGTCTGGTGTGGCTGAACCCTGTTGACAAGCAGTGACACTGGGCCAGGCAGGATGAGGGCTACAACCCAGGCAGGTGGTGAAAAGGTCACAGGGTCAGGAGCCAACTCAACACAACCCTCAGACACTGGGACGCAGGAACCCCACAGGAAGGAGGGACAAGCATCAGTCTGAGGACTGCCAGCTCCTTCCTGTACTGCTGGCCCCCAAACTAACCCCTGTGAGCCCCGAGCTGCATTGCTCTTTCCCCTCTTCCCCAAACCCCACATCCACCTCCCACCACCTGGCCAGGAACCGAGCAATGCCTGGGAGAACACAGGGCCCTCTTCAACTCCATGTCAGTTTCCTGTCCTGGGGTTTTCAAATGAAATTCGGGCCTCGGGTGGCTCGAAGCTGAGGGCTCCCAACTACAATCATTCAGGGACAAATTGGTACAAGCAGTAATCTCTGCTGAGGAGATTAGCTTGATGGCGAGAGGCCTGGAGCAACCAGAGAGATAAAGGCAAGCCTGCAGCCTCGAAACCCTGGGCTTCAGCCTGCGCGGCCTTAGATTGAAGGGAAGCGGAAAGGCTTCGCAGACAATAGAGGTGGAGGTGAAGAGTTTTTCTGAGCACTGCTCAAGTCACTTCCATGGGCTCCCCCCGCTGTGATAATTATTTGTCTCCAGGTGGACAGAACGGGGGGGCGGGCGGGGGGGAACGTGCAGGGAAAGGCGAGGACTGACCGCCAGCACAGCCCCTCCGGGAATGCAGCTGAAGATGTTGCATGACCCCGGAACTCGGCCAACCTCACCTCCAGCTACTCCGGCTGGGCTTTCACAGGAGTTAACAGGGAAGGAAGGCGCCTGGGCTCCACAGAGCTCTGTGGTCTTCAGAATTCCCTGGCAACGTGGAGACTGTGGGCTTTGGAGCCAGTCAGCCCTGGCGTCAGACCTGTTCCCTTTTGTCCCATTTCAAGAGAGCTCTTCGACCCAAGGGGCGTCAGGACCATTCCCATGGCGGGGAAGGAAGTGAGGCCCAGGATGGGAGAAGGGGCTTGCTCAAGTTCACAGGCAGCTGTGGTGGGGGAAGAGGTCCAGAGGTCCAGGTTTGCCAGCTTGGGTTCAGGGCTCTGCCTTCTCCCTGCCCTTCACCGCCCTCCTTCTGGAGCCGACACAGCTCGTCTGTGGCCCAGGCGTTGCACTGACTGTATGTGTGTGACCAGCAGTGGCTACCCCATCTCCCCTTTGTCCCCTTCAGACCTGGAGCTGGTGTCTGGCTGGTGTCTGGCTCAGAGGGGAGAGCAAGGGGTGGCTGTGGAGTAGGACAAGACCCAGGGGTCTGGGGGCAGAAATAGAGAAACAGTGGTCTTGGCTTTAGCAATCCCCAAAACCAACATTGTAAAAAACCAGTCCAGCAGCCTTACCAGCCCACACCGAGCCCAACTGGGGCTGGGTGCCGGGTAAGGAGCCGTGTGGATGGTGTGAGTAGACCTGGTTGTTGCCCTTAGAGAATTTACTACCAACTGCAGGAGCCAGCTGGGCTCACCCAGGTGGCAGAAAGGAAGCATCAGACCGAAGAGGAGGAGTCTATAGGTGGAACCAGGAAGTGGGGGGACGTGGTGGCCTTGGGCAAATTCCCCTTGGATCCTTGGTTTCTCATTGGTGAAATGAGCGGGTGGGACTGGGTGCTTTCTGAAGCCCCCTCCAGCCTGGACAGTCTAGGGGCCTCCAAGGGCCAGCTCACCTCTTCTCCGGTCAGGTAGAAGGCTGAGAGGAGTCCTCCAATGTACCGGATGTTCACCTCAAACAAGGATGCTTCTCCGCTCTGCAGGCAGAGAGAAGGGGGGAGGGCAGCGGGGACACTTGTGAGATGCCTGCAGGGCTCCCAGGGACAGCTGGGCCCTTGAGATGTGTCACCCGATTACTGCCTGCTGCCCTGGCCGATCTGGCCACACCTGTGCACCTGTGCTGGGCTCCAGGGCCACACCCCGCCCGCCACTCAGCGATGGTTTTCAGAGCAAAAGGCAGGAGGAACCAGCACCTGCTTGGCAGGCCACCACTGCACATTTACTGCCTTTCAAATAAACACTGAGCTTGGCTTTCTTCCCCAGCCCTTGCCCAAGGCCATCAGTGCAAAGTAACTCCTGGCGGCTCTCCAAGGAGCAAGAACCCAGTGGGGAGCTGCTGATTGAAGCTGACCTGGGAGGAGGCAAATCCTCTTCTAGCCCCCTTCCTCCCTTTCCCAAAGGACCCCTCTCGGCTTGGCAGGAGGATGGTATGGCCCCTCCTTGGTGTGGCAGGACGAGTGGAAGGTCGCAGAGGAGGCTCTGGGGCAAACAGGGCCAAGGCTGAGGGTAGGGTGCCTGGCAGGTGCTTGTAGGTGACCAGCGATTTCTCAGCCTCAGTCTGGAGCCTTCAGGGTTGCCCACACTGCCTTAATTACTGTTATTTTCTTTCTTAAGCCTGGACTGCAAGACAGGGGTGTTGGGGCATTGTGCCAAGGGTCAGATCTCAGTAAAAAATCCCACTGAGCCACTTACTTGGGTATTTTTTAGCCTTTCCCTGCCGGAGCTCCTTCATTCCAAACAGAGCGGATAGGAGGCACTGAGTGGTTTAGGAGAGAGGCCTGCCCAAGGCTGAGCATGGCTTCCTAAAGGTGCCTGCAGGTACCGCCCCTGCCCCTGAGGGCTCCCCTCTGCAGGCTTTCCACACCAGGTCTCCTATGCCGATCACCACAAGGCCCATTCCTTCACCTGGGAGGGCTTCCGGTCCACAGAGCGCTCGCAAAGCCGCTCTTTTAGCCGCTCGTGACGCAAAGGTCACCGTCCGCATTTGTCAGATGAGAAAGCCCAGGCTTGAGACAGGGAGCACCTGTCTTGCTTTCTTAGAGAAGCCCCCTAACCTGCCGCAGCCTGATGAGTGTGCCCAGGCTCCCCTGGTCCTGCCACCCCCTGGCACCTTGCCCACAGCGGCCTGATGCCCACTCTCCACCCGCCATCAGGGTAGGGGACAAGGTGGGCCTATGGAAATGCTCCTGCTTTTCTCCTGGTTGATACAGGAGGAAACGGGAGGATTTTAAATTTCCCTGCCTCACCCAGACTGCCAGAAGGTGTAACAAGCCTCGAAATGACCAGAATGAGGATGACGACACCACTTTACGTCTGTGTTGGGCTGGAGAGTGTTTTTTACAACCCTCCTCGCACCCAGCCTGTGACTCAGCTGTGGTTCCCACCTTATCCATGGGGAGACCAAGGCTCAGGGAGGCTGATGGTTTTTCCTAGGGTATCTGAGCCAGGGGGCTCTCCTGGCATGACGTTTTCCCACTTTCCCAGTTGTCTCTCGGGCCTGCTCTGTGCTGACACCAGCCTCCCCAGGAAGCAGATGCCTCCGTCCTGCTGTGAGCTGCAGGAGCTGTCCCCATTCACACCAGGACCTGCCACTCACGGAGCCCTAGATGGAGCCCTATGGTGTGTTTTGATGTGACCCCCGCCTGCTTCCCATCTGTCTCCATTTCTTGCTCTCCAAATCCATCTAAACAGCCTCTCCCGGTGATGAGCTGAGACCTCCAGGACAGATCCATTACTCTAGTGGGGGTGCGCCTGGTAGGGGTTTTGTGCCATTCAGACTTATTACCCTCCTCTCCCCCAGGCCCTGGTCTCTGCTCAGGCACACCTGCGAGGCTGAAAGCCGAGATCATGGAGGGCCGTGGGCCTCCAACCAGACACCCCCCACCCCCCCTTACCTACCTCAAGAGGGCAGCCCGGGGGAGGGGGTCTCCAGGTCAGAGCAGCTCCAAGCAGATAAGCCACCTGTCCTGCCCACTGAGTCACCTCCCCTGCTGCTGCTCTTCGGTGACAGCCCCAGCCCCAGAAGGGGCTTCCTGGGTGTGAGCAATGTGCCTGGCACCCGAGAAGGGAAGCAACGCCGGCTGTCTTTCCTCCCAGGGAAGGAGAGCCTGGGACTCATGGGCTGGCCAGGGTTGGGGGTACCCCCCACCATAAGGCTGTCTGAGGGGAGGGGACTCACATGGAATGCGTGGAGCCCCAGCTCTAGGACTGCTTTGCTGCGCTGCCTGCGGCCAGAGCCTCGGCGTCTGTGGGTCTCAGAGATGACAGGGTGAAGCTGGCTGTGGGCCTCTTGGGCCCCTTTTGGCTCTAACACCTGAGGGTCTCAGACTCACCACATTCAAGTGGAAGCTCTCTTCAACCCAGGCCTTGGCTTCCTGGAACTCCTCCTTCAGCTCCATGAGGTAGAGGGTGTCGAGGGAGTCAATGACCGTCGCCCCGCTGAGGCCTCCTGTAGGCACAGAGACAGAAGGCGTGACCCAGGGTCATTCTTATCCTTCCCAGCCCAACCACACAGGCCCCCTTTCCCTGGGCGCCCTCTTAATGCCTGGGCAGGCTTTTAGCCAACATTGGCCCAGGTACGGTCTGGGGAACCTCCAGTGCCGCCAGCCTTCAAAGTGGCGTCTAGGACCCAGTGTCCCACCATCGACTGTTCCTCCTCAAGAGTAGCAAAGGGTGGGTGGCAGGCTAGGCACCTGAGTTCCCTGGGAAGTCTAGAGCTACTTCCCAGGCCTCGAACCACTCTCATATCAGTCAGCAAGTCAACAACGAGCAGCCCCCATTGGGGGTGCCCACCACTTTTCTGTGATGCTGTGGGGAGGGTGAACTTGCATTTGGCCTACAAAATCTTAATGAATGTGCCAGCCCTCTGACTCATCCATTTCATTCCTTATTCTATTCTAAGAAAAAAAAAATGTTCATAAATATTTATCCAGGAAGTAATTTATTGCAGTACCACAGATAGTGGGGAAAAGTTGGTTAAAAACTCCAGGTCCAACAACAGGGGATTAGTTAAATAAATTGTGGCTCAAATGTAAAAAAGGACATGATGCAGCCATTCACACAGGTGAGCCCGACCCGTGTTTTTTGGGGAGATACCCATGGGATCTGTAAAAGAAAGCAGGCTGCAAAAAAGCAGCGCGGTGTAAGTTCTTGCTGTGTGCCAGGTGGGTGAGCTGGTGAACTAAGTCGGACAGGACACAGCTCAGCGCTTTTCTCCGAGTGCTGGGACTGCTGGTGCTTTTTGATTTCTTCAGCTCATGGATTATTTTTAAAGCCAGAAACTTATTTCCATTAAAAAAAAAAAAGGAAAGAAAGTCTGGGCAACAAACAAACAAATCCACAAACCAAAGGTTTTGGGACCACTCTAGGACAGTGAGCACACACACAAGGCGTGAGGCCTGGCCCTTCCACTGGGCCTTAGGCTCTTGTTCTGGGAGTCAAGGTTGAGATAATTCTGCAAAACGAGCTTTGCAGACCATGGACTGGGCAGAAAAGAGCTGAGGAAGACCTCCCCACATGGTGACAACCAGAGCTTGAGTTCAGAGGACTGTGAAGGGGGAAGGGAAGGAGAAAGAGCTGTGCCTAGTGCCATCTGGAGGGCTTCCTGGAAGAGGTGGCTGCCTCCCTTCAACCCCCTACAACTACAGTCATTATGGGTAGCAGCCATCTCCTTTAGGGACCAGAATGTAGCATGTAGCTTAAGAGAAGTAACTATTCCTTCAGCATCCTCCCCGCAGAGGCACAGAGGTGTGAGAATGACAGGCCCTGCCTTTCCCCAGCAGAGCCCTGGAGATCGCTGACAGCATGGAGCCCCACCTGAGTCTGCCGCAGGAGCCCAGCTTTGCAGGCACACCTGCACTCTGAGTTAGCGTCCAGTCTCCTTAACGAGTGCTCCCCTAACTGCTCCTTTGTGTGGACTTTGCAGGCAGAGAATCCTTCTGCATCTCAAACACTCACCTCTCCAGGCTGGGCGAGGTCAGATAAAGGGCACAATCTAGAAAGGATGGGAGGGGGATGAGGGAGAGGTGGGAGAATGAAGGCTGGAGGTTGCAGAATCCACTTACAGAAAGGAGGGCATTTCAAGAGAGGAGGCCTGGGGATGCAGGGGCTTCCCAATACAGACTCATGCATCTGGGGATGGCTTTAATATTTGGGTTGAAGTGAATTTCCAAAATGTTCAATGCCCCCTACACTGAAGGATCAGTAGGAAAACATACCCCAAGCCAAACTAAGTTTATCTTTCCCTGGTTTATCCTGATGCGCCCCCGTAGGTACCAGAGGCTGCACATGGTTCGTGCGAACATGTGACCCTCCTGAGGTGTCAGGTGTGGGAATGCTGACGCCCCACAGACGCAGGGGCTGAGCTGAGCCTGCCCGGGAGCTCCAGCCTGCGTCCACGCTCTAGGCTCTGAAGCTGGGGCCCCTTCCATTGTAACACATGGTCTCAAACCTAAGGGTTAAGGACCTGGAGTGGTTTTCAAGATCCTGTTGCCCCACCCCTAGATCTCACAGACGGGATTGGGACACGGCCAAGATCAGACCAAAGGAGTGGTGGGACCCCAGATGTGTTTTCCATGACAAGAGTGGCCTCTCAGTGCCCTGTGAAAACAATTTCCAATCTGATGTCTAACCCCACCCACCCTTGAACGGGCAGGAGGCCGCTCTGACCAGGGAAAGCTTGACGAGAGGCCCAAGTTTCTTCAAGGCTAAGGGAGAGGCAGCCCAGGGTATCTGACTGCTGAATCCTGCCCTGGACTGGTTGGTGTTTTCTCCCCACGGGCCCTCATTCCTCTTGGCTGAGCTCGAGCCCAGAGACCCCAGGGCCTAAGGGCAGCAGGGGTTCCTGGAGGCCGCTCTCTTTTCCAAATGCTCCAGAGGCACCAACCGAGAAGGCAGCTTGCCAGAGACTTATTGGCGAGGTTCTGCCCTGGCTCTCAGGTTCCTGAACCCTTCTCTCAGTTGATCTTTCACCCCCACCTCCACCTTGCACACCGCTGGGCTGCAGGCCAGCAAGGCACTAGTGGAAAGCATCTCTTCGAGGCCAGAGGTCACCCAAAGGCCAGGCTGGGCAGGAGCGAAGGCTCTATCCTGAATTCAACTCTGTGTCTGCACCTGCAGTGGGCCTAGGGCAGCTCCCCTGGGAAAAAGCACTTGCCCAATTCAGAAAACAGGCCCACGATTTTATGCAGATGGCCAACAGGGCACAAAAAGTCAGGCAGCCAGCATGGAAGCTTCACTGGGCCTGGACCTGCGGCAGGTTCCAGGTTGGCCCACTCTCCCATCTCCAGCTGTGAACCCTTGCTGTTCACAGAGGATCCAGTCCCCCTCCTCTTTCTGCCAGGGCAGGAGGCAATATGAGGTATGTAAAAGGAACAGAGCCTTGCACTCAAATCCCAGCTTGGGCTCTAAGTGTCAAAGTTCTCATCTGTAAAGAGAGGTTAAGACCACTGGTCTATGTACTGGGGAGCCACTGCAGGTTTCTGAGCTGGGAAAGTGCATCATACACTTGCCTGCCCCAAATACATCTGATAAAGGCATCTGTGTGTGCCTGGCACAGAGTAAGTGCTTGATAGTTTACTGTTCTTGTTTCTGGAGTTCCTTAGCTTACCTTGAAACACTGGTCTAGCCAGGAAGATGTGGATTCAAATCCTGCTTCCATCACACACTAGCTGTGTGCCAGGGCAGCTCTCTGTACCTTTCTGAGACACGTTCCTCCTCTGCAAAATGGGGATGGCAGTGGGGCCTACTTCATAAGGCTGCAGGGAGGGTAGAATGGGGCAGTGGATGGAAAGGAGTTGGCACGATGTTACTTGTGAGCTTACCATAAACAGAAGTGTGGCCCTCCTTGCCCCCACTGGCCCTGGCCAGCACCTTCACAATTTCTGAGGTTACTGAGGCCTTGCGGTGCTCTTGCCTTCCTGGCCTCTCACTGCTCTGCAGGGCAGTGTGGGCATGAGACTGCAGCTTGCAAACCCTTGGCCCACTTAGAGGAAAACTGTCACACGGATCCCACCTGTGTCTGCTGCTGAAGCCTTCACTGCCCCTGACCTGGGTGTGCTCCTGCCTCAAAAGGGTCTTCTTACCTCCAGGACCCCTTCCCCTCCAATTCACCCTATACATTGTTGCCTAGCCCTGGCCCTAAAACCAGACCCAGTTGTGTCCCTCCCCAGCTCAGGAAGCTGCAGTGGCTGCCCAGGGCTTGTGCAATAAGGAGGGTGAAGCCTTTTTGGGTCTGACTCCAAAGATCTGGCTAATCTCGCTGCCCACCAAGTTCTGCTTCCTGGCCCCACGGTGCATGCTCTTGCCTCCATACCTCTGTGTGTGTGATCTCCTCTGCCAAGAAGCCCTCCCTGTGCATCTGGGCATACTCAAAGCACACACGTTCTTTCTTCATGGCAGACTTCCTGGCGGCCTCCCGGATTACACCCAACTGACCTCCTCCTGCCCAGAGGGCCCGTCTCTGGGCCTTGGTTCTTCTCCTCCTCACTCCTTTAGGGGTGCAATCCGGTCTCACGGCTTTAACTAGCATCCATATGCTGACGACGCCCAGATTTAACTTTCTAGGCAGGACCTGTCCTCCAGCCCGGGATGCACTATCCTCTCCTTGCTCACATTTCCACGTGGCGGTCCACAGGCATCCGGGTTTAACTTGCTCTTCTCTCCAAACCTGTTCCTTGTGGTCTTCCCACCTTGGTTAATGCCAAATCCCTCTTCCCAGGGCCAGTGGCCCTAACCCTGGACTCTCTGTCCCTTGCCCCCACATTGGTCCTGCAGAACATCTGGTGACTGTTCCTTCACAAGATTTCCAGGCCCTGCCCGTTTCTCCCATCCTCCAAGCTACCACTTGGTGCAGCCACCTTTTCTCAGAGTTATTCCAATACCCTCCTAATTACTCCCTGGCTTCTACCCTTGCCCCAACCTGTCTGTCCTCAACACAGCAGCTAGAAGGATCCGTTAAAAATGTGAGTCATATGATGCCATGTCTCTGCCCAATAAGGCCAGTCACATGGCTGGACTCGGAGGCCTTGTGATCCGGCCCTGGCTTCCTCTCAGCCCCATGTCCCTCCCCCTGTGCCCAGCCTCTCTCCCTCCTCTCCTGCCGAATGCTGCCCCTGGAGCCCTCTAGGCTGCTCCCTGTTAGGCCCTGGCTTGTGATTGCTCAGCTGAAACAGCACCCCCATTGCTGGTCCCTTACCCTCTTTATTTTTCCTTTATCCCAGGATGTTCTGCATGGATCTGCTACCCTGTTTACTGAACTCTCCTGCTGGAGAGGAGAGCTCTGTTTTGTTCACTGCTATCATCCACTTTTTAGAACATTTTTGTGGACATCACAGGTGCCCAGTAAGTATTTGGGAATAAAGAGCCCTCTCCTCCTAAGTGGGGAGGGTTCTGGCGGGCAGGGTGTCGGGGGAGGGGCTGCAGCTCATGCTCATCTCTCTGTGCATGGCT